GGTAACGAGTTCAAACAGGTGCAGTTAATACAGGTAATGAGTGGAGAACAGGAGGGCTTCTTAAAGAAGAACTAACTAATTTTTGTTTTAGATTCAATCACTCACAGTTGAAGTGTACCTATGATAAAAATTACAGTCATCTACAAGCTTTGCAAGTGGGAAAACCTGAAAAATCAACAGTGTATCAAATACTTGTTCTCCCGCCTGTATCAATGTGTTTTGCTGCCCCCTTATAATGTGCTGGGGGGAACCCCGATGAACTGCACCTTTTTAAAGTTATATTAGCTTCAAAGATTTATCCTTTTACTACATTTTTATACACTTTCAGTTTTATCTAAAAATAATCCTGACACATAGGTGGTTCCCTGAAAACATCTGCAGTTGAAACCWCTTTGTGTTTTACCACGTTTAAAAGAAGACACATTTTGTGTCTCCTTTCTTCTCTAAAGACTCATGTTCTACCACGCATGGATTGTTCCTTTAATCGCTGTGTGTGTGTGTGTGTGTGTGTGTGTGTTTGTGTGTATGTGTGTGTTTCTCCTCTCAGTGGGAATACACCTGAAACCAGAGGAACTGCTTATGTTGTGTACGAAGACATCTTCGACGCCAAGAATGCCTGTGACCACCTGTCAGGCTTCAATGTGTGCAACCGTTACCTCGTGGTTCTCTACTACAATGCAAACAGAGTATGTATGGGCAGTGAAACGGAAATAAGTTGTGATTGAATCAAAACATAGACAAGATACGCCTGAASATGAAAACTATGTGAAGTTTTTGTTCTGATCATTTTGTTTTTGTTTTGCTTTGTCTTTTTGCAGGCTTTCCAGAAAATGGACACAAAAAAGAAAGAGGAGCAGCTGAAGCTTTTAAAAGAGAAATATGGCATCAACACGGACCCTCCAAAGTAGAGAAGTCCCCACCTTTCAACTTTTATCTGTATGGTGGGAGGATTAGGGCCATGATGAGGAGGAAAACAAATTGTTATATCAGAATCTCAAAATTCTTAGAAAAATGTCAGAATTCTGACTTTTTCTGTTGTTGTTTTTTTTAAAGTCAGAATTCTAATATTGTGGCACTAATCTTGCAAAAATCTGCATATTTAAAAAAATCTGTGTATTATTGGTTTGTCYTTATAGTTTACCCTTATAAACAAAATTTTTATTTTTCTGGTTAGACTTCTGCAGATATGCTCTGTGTCAGTTAAAATCTTCTTTCTGAGGGTTTGATATTTTTGTTGTGATCTGAAGGCACAAACTCCTCAAAATTAAAAATTGACACAACTATAGTTCTTATAATGAACAAACTGGATTTTTAAATTTAATTTTTGTTTGCTAGGAGGACAAGATACAARTGTGCTCTCCTAATATAAAGTTTTTGCTTTCTGTAAAATAAAAGCTCCATTTTCTAAAAGCTTTATTCTTCTGCTTTTAAAAAATCTTTTGGCACAATGAAGAGAAAATGCTGCCCTTTGTGTGAAGTTATGAGGTCAGTAGACTACATTAAACACATTTACACACGGGTTAAAAGGTCAGGCTTTTCAGTTCGTCCCTGAGGTGAAGTCAACTGGTGTGAGTGAGGAGAAAACCAGAGGAACTTTGGGAAATTAGTCTTCATTCTCTAAACATTCGGTTTTATGTCTGTCCACTTCATATCAGCCAAAATCCATTTAAGCAGGGGTGTCCAATCCTGGTCACTACTCTGCAAGTTTTACTTGTTTTCCTACTCCCAACGTACCTGATTCATTGATTGACCTCTGACTGATTTACCTCTTCAAGTTCTGCAGAAGCTTGCTAATCACCATTCATTCAGTTGGGGTGTGTTGGAGCAGATAAATGTCTAAAACATGCAGAATAACAGCCCTTCTGGACCAGGATTGGACACCCCTGCTTTATGGTAGTTGACAACATACACTGTTATCAAATTGGCAATTTCCTGTCTGGTGAACTAACTCACCATATCATCCTCACAATGAAACATGGAGGATCATAAAGGGAATGCTTTTCTTTAGCTGGAACTGTGGTTTCAGTCACGGTAGGTGGAGATGTGYATGGTTCCAAATACCTGTTTGTTTTGGCCTAAATAAAACATGTTTTAAAATGACCACAAGCACACATTCAAATCAACTGAAAACTGGCTTCACTAAAAGAAGACCGTTTTGGAATGGTCCAACAACAGTCTATCTAAATTTGACACAATCTGGCAAAGAGTTTTCAAAGTAGACAAATGTTCGCAGAGTTTATTAGATTAAACCACAACATGAAGTAGTGCAGCCATGTTGTCAGACACAATACATGACTTACATGGTTGCATTTTCTTACATTTGATATCTTGATAGCAGTGACAGAGTTGTTATTGGAAACAACTGCCCAAATATCTTATATACTGTGTATTAGAATTTGTACAGGGAAAATCCACAATGCTGAGGAACAGAAATGGACTAGTGGGATGGATCTTCATTGCAGCGATGTAGGCCTGTGATATGAAATCACATCTGTGGATTTTAATTTTTTTACTCTTCTAAAACACTGGTGTGGTAAAGTCATTCTCAGGAGGTACCACACTTCTCTGGGTTTAGGTTGAGTTATTTTGTGTGTG